TCTAACAACGTTAAGACGGCTTATCGACTTCTTGAGAAGAATATATATATATATATATATATATATAGAGTCAGTTAACATTGATATTTGTCTCAAGGTCCAAGCCTGTGTATATAGAGTCAGTTAACTATTGATATTTGTTGCAAGGTCCAAGCCTGTATATATAGAGTCAGTTAAATATTGGTATTTGTTGCAAGGTCCAAACCTGGATATATAGAGTCCGTTAACTATTGATATTTGTTTTAATAGTGTTTCTTTCTAAATATTGGCATCATAGAACTCTCTTGTACATAATACACCTTAAGTTGCCAGGACTCCAAGATGAATCTGGAAAGTTAGTGATTGTTCAAAAGTGTTGGTTAAAAGAAATAAAACTTTCATTTTGTTAATATATGTATATTTATTTATCTTGTGAATTGTTTATTATTTTTTATATACATTACTAATGTTTGGAATGAGTTGCCTTCAGATGTGGTGGACACAGTTAATTTAAGGATGTTTAAAGAAAGGCTTGATAAGTATTTGGATGCTAAGAGTTTTTTATTTTTATTTTAAACTTTAATTTGGAGGATGGAATGGTCTAGATGGACCTGCTTATCCTTTTTTGTCATTAAATTATATGTAACAGTTTATTTTTTGTTTATTTGCCTGAGGCATAATTAAATATATAGTTGTATTTGATTAAAGAATTTCATGTAAAATTCTAACTGAAATATATTCTCTACAGTATATTGCAGAATTTGGCACTGATCACATTTACAACACGGACCTCTTTAATGAAATGAAACCACCTTCTGGGTAAGTATTAAAGGATTTTTGTATAGTATGCCTCATTCTATTCCTTTACCTAAAGACAGATTTGAACAGGGCTGACACTAGGGGGTTACTGGGGCAGGCCATGCCCTCCAAATTTCACTCTGGCCCACTCAAGTTCATTTTTCCTAACAATTAAAAAAAAAGTTTGTTTTTTTATTTCACTAAGAAGAGTGAATTTGGACAAACATGTTTGCTTCATTATGTTTCCTGTAAAACCAATTCACTGTACGGTGCCCCCCATAAAATCTCCACTTCCCCTAAGAGTGAGGAGCTGGATTTTAATAGGACTTTTTCGTATTGAAAATTTCTTTCTTTTCATTATATATTTTGTTGTTGTTGTTGTTAGAAGCCCCCCCCCCCTCCAGTGGCACAGCTTTATGTCTACAAATTGGCAACATTGGGAACCGGGTTTTGATACCCTTGGAGGGAAGAGCCCCTTGTGTAGCTTTGTGCTTCATTTCAAACAAACTAAAACTTCTATAATAAAATTAATAATGTGTGAAATACAAAATCCATCTGAGGCAACAACTGAGTAAGATGTAGGGTCAATAGCCCCTAAAAAATTGTTTTCCGTTTTCAAAAAAGCTGCTTGTTTTTCCGATATTTGCATGCCTTTTGTTTTTGAGACTGTTATCCTGAAGTAATTGCCTTATTGCAAGTTATACCCCTAAAAAAAGGCATTTAAACTTGAAACTAAGTTTAAGTACTGCCTGGGGCATCTTCATTAAATAACTTGATACTTTATAAACACTGATTAATGGTGGGCCTAGTCAACTTTATTTTGTATTGTAATTTCTATACTGCAGTTTTATCCTCCACTGTGCTTTAAATTTTTCCAGCCTAATGACAGTATATTGCCAATTCTAAGTTTACATTTACAGAAATTAAAAATTCACAAACATTACCAAAACTGAAATTTCAAAGATAACTATTGAAGTTTTTTTTTGTCTATTTGTAAAAACAGCATCAAAACTATATTGATTATACAGTTCATTGGTAACCATTAAAGCCAGAATACCTGTTTTAATCTTTCTTTGCATCTGTTATACTTACCAAGTCCATGAATTAATAAATATTAAAAATAAAAATGAGTCTTTGTTTGTACCACTGAATGATTTGAAGAATCAGCTGACTCCAGACCTGTTAACAAGACTTTGAACCATCACAGAATTTGTTAGTTTGTTCTGTGGATCAGGGTAGTTCAACCTTTTACCTATAGAGGGCCAGAGTGTAGAAGATTAGAGAGCCATAATTTTGTACATAAGTGATTTACTATTAAATTTATTTGTGAGAGGAAAATAAAAAGTTAACACACAAATTTTAACTTTAATTTTGACTTAATAATGAGTGTGTGGGCCTGATAAGGCCTAGCAGTTGGGGACCAATTACATAATTACATCTAAACTGCATGCCAGTACTGATTATACTTTATGTCATAAACTTTTCATAATGACAGAGTAACAATTACACATTTTTTTTTTGCTGTGTCTGTTAAAATTTTTATTTGATGGAATATTGTTGAAGACTTGTACGAGTTCTTTATGTTTTTTAAGTTTTTTGAAACCCTGATTCATCTTTGGTAAAACTTCTTCTGATCCTCATCCATGACATAAAAATATAACGAAAGACCTTGTACTTGTAGTGACCTGGAATATATCAAAGCCACTGGAAGAGCAGTTTTCCAATCAATGCTTGATGCCGACCAAAAAGCCATATGGTAAATGCCAGTTTCAGTTTTATTTTTTTAGCAGTAGTTTTAGTATTTTTCTTTTTTCTTAAAATATTCTTACCTTACTTTGATCACCTGGTGGACCAGTGATAAGGTTACAGACTTACAATAAATGCCTTACTTGTTGAGATTTCTCAGTAACCAAAAAAAACTTGCTAAGTACTCATCTTAATTGTTATTTTAATAGAGTTATTTATATTCTCATTAATTTATATATATATATTACTTTTGCTAACAGAGCTAGAATATGGATTATTTTTAGTGTAAGTGGTTGCATCTATCAGATATCTAATAAAACATAAACATTTATATATTATATCAGTGTTATAGCTGTACAAAAATAAAAAGGGGTTTTTCAATCTCCTTTTTAACATTTGAAATTACTTTTTCAATGATGAAGTAATATATTGTTAATCACTCAAAAGTAATAGATTAAATGTGCCGCTGCAATAGGGAATCAATAACTATATATATCAGAAAATAATAAAAAAATTCTATAGAATCCCCTTAAAAACGTTTGAGCAGAAGCTTCTTGAGTTTGATAATCAAGAACTGGTAATAATCATGTAGGCCTAACAGTTTGAGATTTAAAATCCAGATTTTTTTCTTTGGAGAATAAAGGTTGTGAAAGTACTCGTGTTTTATTTACATCATGGGATACAGGTTGGCCCTGTGGTATATAGAGCTCTGAATTTTAGAACTGGAAATACCATGAAATCTTCTTTATGGGTGCATTTTTACAGTGCCAGTCAATCCCTTAGTATCATTTACAGCATCTGTTGAATCTGTTATTAATAACATACCAAAACATTTTTTAGAGAAATGAGATTTATAATGTTGTATTTTATTTTTATTTAATAGGGTCATGCAAGGATGGATGTTTACTCATAGTCAAGAATTCTGGACTAGAGATCGTTCAAAAGCTCTTCTAACATCAGTTCCATTGGTAAATATTGGTATAATAATTAAATTAGAATTAATTTATTTCCTGTAATATCTGTTATACTAATCAATTACACACACATAAAGATGCTATGTCCTTTGTGTGTAATAAAGATTCTCTGGTGGGACAGCAGTAAGTTTACGGACTTTGCTCTAAAAGAAACAAGCATGAAATAGATTGAATAGAAAAAAACTAAATGTGACCAAAACAAAGTTCCATTGTCAGGTAAATTACATTGATGGATATATTTAATAACTTCTACTTTTTAGCCTAATTATTATGCATTCATGTCATATCATAGTCATGGTTTAAATGCTAAAACGGTTACTAATTGAAAGGAGTGTTCTCCATTCTTTGACACCAGCACTAGGGAGGGCGGGGGGAGGTTATATCAAGACATTTTGTATGATACTTGAAGTAAACAGTTTATTTATCTACCTTTGCACTTTCACCTGTGAACCATTTGTATGGGATTTTATTATAGACCTTTTATTGTTTGTTTCCAAGGTTGATAATGATCCCTAACATTAATAGACAAACAGTTTTTCCTTTCACAGTTAAAAAACTGTAAAATGATATTAACTTTTGATCAGAACAAGCTATGTACTTACAGCAAAACTAAAAATCAGCTTGGCAATCTGTATAGCCAAGTTAAATGTACATTTCTACTTATACATATTAGAATTTATTGTTTAATCAGTTAAGTACTTTCATTGTTAAAGATATTTTTGGCTGTAATCCCAGGAATATCTCATGATGTTTGGACAGTTTAAGAGATTTAAGTTAGTCCTAAATACGTATATTAAGCTAACATAAACCTTCAAATTTAAGATATGAAACAGATGTATATGGTCAATTTGGATACACAACTTTTACAAAATGTAAGTAAATTGTAATTCTAAAGAGAAACTAAAATATTTTTGCTTAGAACTTTGATGCTATCAACAATGGTAAAGATAGATGTATAAAATAGTTACAGGTAAAGGGTTAATAAAATCTTGTTTTTTCCAGGGTAGAATGATTGTACTTGATCTTCAGTCTGAATTTGCTCCTCAGTATCAACGTTTAGAATCATATTATGGACAGCCATTCATCTGGTGCATGCTTCACAATTTTGGAGGTGTTTTGGGTCTCTATGGTGACATGGAATCTGTAAACAAGGTAATTCTAATGCATGTTTCACACTTTTGGAGGGGTTTGGGGTCTCTATGGTGACATGGAATCAGTAAACAAGGTAATTTTGATGCATGCTTCACACTTTTGGAGGTGTTTTGGGTCTCTATGGTGACATGGAATCAGTAAACAAGGTAATTCTAATGCATGCTTCACAATTTTGGAGGGGTTTTGGGTCTCTATGGTAACATGGAATCAGTAAACAAGGTAATTCTAATGCATGCTTCACAATTTTGGAGGGGTTTTGGGTCTCCATGGTGACAAGGAATCAGTAAACAAGGTAATTCTAATGCATGCTTCACAATTTTGGAGGAGTTTTGGGGCTGTATGATCATATGGAATTTGTAAACAAGTGAAGTCTTGCTTCTGATGCATGTTTCATAATTTTGGAGGGATATTGTGGTTTTATGGCAATATGTAATTAATCTATAAACAAGTTAATAAGTCTTCCTTCTGCTACAGTAGTTCAGAAGTCTTTAAATACATCAGAAGGAATTCAGAAGATTTCTTTAAAATCTGAACTTTCGGTCTTTTGGTTAAACATTTTTTTTTTTTTTTGAAAATTGTGATTTAATGATGCAACTGTACAAACTTTTTTAAAGAAATGAGATGTTTAACTAAATGTGTACAAGCCTTTTTCATTGGACCGACCCCTTATCAGAGAGAAGGAATGTTGACTGTAGTTCCAAATTTACTTCTTGTATCTACATGAAATGTGGTAAGCTTTTAGTAAAATGTACATGTCAGTTGTACACAAGAAATCATTGTTGTACAAAAGTATTTTTACTTACAAAACATGGAAATTGATGACATCAGTCTGACACAGACTCTAACAAGTCAGAGTACAAGATGATGGTCTTATGTCCACTGACACAGACTCTAAAAAGTCAGTGTACAAGGTGATGTTCTTATGTCCATTGTCAAGTTTGAATTTTACCTTTGCATAACTGTAGATCCTCCAAAATGCATAACTACAGTTTATTCAGTATCCCTGTACACTCTATCTGGTAGTTAGTCTCCTATACCATGGACCTTTGCCAAATTGGCAATATGGAGTGAACTGACATCAAATATGTAATACCAAGTTAAATAGCACTCTCTAAAAAGTCATGACATATACACTTTGACTCCTACCCATGCAAAAATCACATCACTAATAAATTCAAAGTAGACTATAACTTATGTTCTACCACATTCTGTACTTGTTAATGTTGTGCCTCATTCTTGTAGGTTATGAAGGTGTAGGAGTTGCTTAGGCCCATGGAAGACTGATGCTTCACTACTTCACTGCCTGATTCATGAAATCTTCTTTAGGGGGGGGGGGGGAGTTATTGCCCCTCACATTTGGTGTTTCTGAGGGTTTTTATCTGCTCTTCCTGCACTGTTGAACTGTATTTGAATCTCATTTTTACAGTTCTAAGTTTGATTCCTTTTTTTTTATGTCACGTCTGTGTAAATTATTTCAAACCCAAAAATTGTTTAGTTTACTTTCTTTCCAATAGGGTAAGTGTGTAGAGACTTCAATGTTCAAATTATGATATTCTAACTTACTGAAATAAAATTGATCAGTTACTAAAGATAAGGGAAAGGTTAAATTTATGCTTTTTTTTCTTTAAAATACTGCCTCTTTCTTTACTTTGACATAACCCACATAACCTTAAATCAATTAAAACTATGATATTCTTTCAGGGACCGTTCACTGGACGATCATTTCCAAACAGTACAATGATAGGAACTGGTCTCACACCAGAGGGAATAGAACAAAATGAAGTGATGTACGAACTGATGAATGAAGCGTCCTGGAGAAAAAAACCGGTGAATTTGAAAAAATGGTAAAAATCATGTTATTGTACGTGTCATTTAAGATATTTTCTGGACTGAACATGATAGATATTATGCCAGACTTTGGTTAAACAAATTTTATACTCTACGATTTAGATATGAGGATTCTTATTAACATGATTAAAATTCACCTATTTAAATTAATTTGCCATTCTAATAAATTCATAGGAAGAATAACTAGAAACGCCCCATCTTTTAAATTATAAGCAAACAATAAACAGTACAAGTGTGTATTATAAAAAATTTTAAATATTTAAATGTAGTTTTATTTGAAAATCATAATGAGTTTGTTTTGGTAAGTTTGTTTGAAAGATAGTAGATAAGTAAATACATTATGAAACAGTAAAAGTTGTATTATTTGTGCTCTAAATCAGCGGTTCTCAATCTTCCTTCAGGCGATACATAGAAAGGTTGCATAATTAATAGGAAGGAAATGGTAATGTATAGATCCCATCGTGACCATATACATCTGTTTCATATCTTAAATTTGAAGGTTTATGTTAGCTTAATATACGTATTTAGGACTAACTTAAATCTTGTAAACTGTCCAAACATCATGAGATATTCCTGGGATTACAGCCAAAAATATCTTTAACAATGAAAGTACTTAATTGATTAAACAATAAATTCTAATATGTATAAGTAGAAATGTACATTTAACTTGGCTATACAGATTGCCAAGCTGATTTTTAGTTTTGCTGTGATCTACCTCTGAGAATCTGAGATACTTTAAGCAGTTGCTACCTTTTCTTGATCCAAAATGATAACAATGTCCTGTGTATTTGTGAAGTATCTGTAATGTTTGTTTTTTGGTAGACATATATGTGGCCATCATTTATTGTAAGTCTGTCTATCAGGGTGTCGATGTATTCCTACAGAAGATACGGACAGGTTTCAATGCAAGTGTCCAAAGCGTGGAAGCTGTTAAAGGTAGGGTCAGTCTCTCGGTAGAATGATATTTTAACAATTCTGCCTCAGGTCAGTCTCTTTGTAGAATTTTTATTATATATTGGTAATCGTAACCAGGAAAAGATGGCAACTAAAGAAGATTTTTTGTAAAAATTACAAAGTTTAAAAAATCAACCTAAGTCCATGCTTGACAGAGACAATTACTAATAACTCATTGACAGAAACGATTACTAGCATCACTCTTGAAAATATAAACTTTGATTAAGAAAATACTCAGTTCTATGTTTTGTGTGTGTAATATGAATCATTTAATATTTGATCCCCACACCCACCCTGTGTTGTTAAAATAATCGGTATTTTTTTAAAATACCATCATTAATTTCCAAACAAACAGTTGCAAATTCTTAAAGTAAATATTATAGTTTCATGACTTCATGACCTTTTAGTATATATTATATTTCATTTAACTCTTTCTATAATATCAGTTACTTCTGACCATAGCCAACCAATTAATTACATCAGAACTAAAAATTAACATGGTAATTAATGTAGCCAATTTAATATACCTGTCTGATTAGGTGTATGCAATATTGTGAAACAATAACTTACGATGATTATTTGCTTACTCGTATATACAGTATAATGTTTCTGTCCTTTTTATTTCATCAGTTACGGATATATACTTTGTTTTACTACAACTAATAAAAAGTAAGGAAGTATTGTGATGAAATTACACTAGGCAATAAGAGTTTTCTTCAGATTCCTCTTAATTTGTTCTTTACAGATTTTAAATTAGAGGTGTGTAAAAATATCATTTAAGATCTGCCTATCTTGAAGAGTTGTGGTAGTTGAACAAAAGGCCTCTACGGTAGTAGTTTTTTTGGGACAAAAAATTTATGTTAACATGATTTTTATCTTGAACATTAAGATGGTTTACAATACATTAAAAATTGTAGCAGGAGAAAGGGTACGTGCATTACCTTAATGAATTGTCAGGATAAAAGGGTACGTACATTACCTTAATTAATTGTCAGGATAAAAGGGTACGTACATTACCTTAATGAATGTTCAGGAAGGTGATTAACCTTCAGCAAAGCAACAAATAATTGTTTCTAAAACAAATATTCACCATTATTGCCAAACATTCGTCCTATTTAATTTTCATTTTATAATTATTAGTTGAGGTGCGATATGCATTTGTTAAACAAGTCGTGGGAAAAAAAGATAAAAGTTTTCTCCTATTAAAAGAGAGGAATCCTAATGCTCTATTATAACTGTAAATAATTCTCCTTAGCCGTGAACTTTCGGAGTTTATGAGTAATTCCAAAGTGATTTGTTGTAGCCGTAAAATTTGTAGAACTTTAAAACTTGTGTATGGAAGCACATTATGCTAATACAATAGTAACTTGACAAACAATTTATAACCATAATTAATTGGTTTATTTTTGGTGGAACATACTGTTCTGTCAAACCATGCAGTATGTTCCACCAAAATGAAATAACTTCATTATGTTAATAAGTCGTTTTTCAATTTACTATTAACTTTAGATCTTAATTGGCAGTTTTGGCATTTGGTTAGACCTCCTTGATATAACGACATTAAAATTATGGGCTGGTAAATATTTCATTAAATAGTAAACTTATTTATTTTATTTACAGTAATTTGGAACTTTCTCCAGTTCTTTGAATACTTTGCCAGTCAGTCCATCAACCAAAAGGAGATAATTTAAGATTAGATAACATCGATCTGTACGTAAACCTAAGTGATATAATGCAATAGAAAATGCTCTTTTCTTTTGTCCTGTTTGTTAAAAAGAAGTTTACATGTGGTATTTTTCTTCCAGCGTAGTGTCTTCAACTGCACGTTGTCATTGAAGGATCATGGAAGATACATTATTGTTCAAAGACCTTCACTTCATAATAAACCTTTTGTAAGTTGAATATTCTGTTTCATTTTCTGAAATATAATTTAGTTATGAAGTAAATCAATTCTTTATTTTAAATACATGAGTTATTAATTCTATTTTTTAATAATTACACATATGGTTTTGTGTATTATAACATCTAAAAGTATGTTTGACAATCACTGCTGAAAGTTTTATTTGATTTTATTATGTCCTTGGCATTTTGTGTTAAAGTTTCAAATATGGCTGATTTTGGCATAAATTTTATTTTAGAATAATATAAGTAAACATTTACTTTAAAATGATTTATAAATCTTGAATTAATAACCTTTGTGCAAAAGTTATGGTTTAAGTACAAAAAGCCTTTTGTCTGCCGAAATACTTAAAAAGAACAACAGTCTTAAAGTTTTTTATAAAAACTATTTAACTACAGATGTTTTTTTTTCACATGTCTCTTAATTTGCCCGATATGGCTCATAATTAGAGGACAAGTTAAAAGGAATGTGAAGAAAAAACATTTGTAATTAACTTGTCTTTATAGCAGTTATTATGCCTATTAATTTTATAATATACTTTTGGTTAAAAAGGCTTTCGACTTACTTTTTCATAATTTTTAAAATATTATATTGCACATATAGATAGCATTTCATAGGCTCTCTTGTCTCTCATCATCTTACTCAGCAGATTATGTCTGGTATTGAAAACAAAAAGCTTATTGGGCAGTGTCTTGAGCGAGGCAGAAGATAGTTCTAATTTGTTAAAAAAATTTCAGGATTATATTCGTGATGGTAAAGTATAGAAAATATTAAGTTTTATGTTTTTCTTATCTTTACATGTAGATGTGGTTTAATCCTAAGGATGTGTTTACTGCTTGGAAGTTGTTTGTCTCGGCTAGCAAGAATAAATATTTGTCACAGCAGGAAAATTTCAGGTAAGAATGACACTTTTCCCCACTTTTGAAAATAAAACTACATTTGTTTTCTTCAGCGTTTGAGTTGTGAATATGTGACACTTAACTGCAAGGGCTGGGTGTAGCCTCGAGGTTTGCATGTCACTCAACAGATTGAAAGATCAAAAGCTTAAGTCGTAATATGCTGCTGAGCTCTCTTAGCACATACATCTATGGAAACATTTTAATCATGCCAGTCAGTGTCATTACTTAATTAACAGTAGCCATGTACACAGTAGATTCTGCTCACCAGTTGTTCTGTAGTCAACAATCTAGGGATAGCTATCCGTTAACCCTTCCATTTAACCTGTATGACAATTTTAAAATACCGCTGCATTACGATACACTTAAAAAGCCTAGTGATAAAATTCTCTGTATGATAGTTATTTCTACTGTTGTTATTATTACTAATAATACCACTACTACTAAGCTTAAATGGTTGAAAATCCATCAAGTTGAAGTTTTTACAGTAAGGAAGAATTTTTTACTTCTATCTGTTGCAATTATTCTCAAGTACACAGGTTTTAATAGTAAAGAAGGTTTTTGTATTTATATCAACATTCAACAATTTAAATTAGAGAATTGATAATGGTTACTTATGTATGTGCACATCAGTACATGTGACTTTACAGTTCACTTATTTATAGATGAAAAGAAATTTAAGCATGAATTTAGATGGATTGAAGTATGTCAAAAATGTGTAAATAATTTGGGTAAGAAGAGAAATGTGTAGGATACTTAACGATACAGAAGATATAAGAGTCATGCGTAGGTGTTTGTCGGATTGTTTGATTTTATTAATAAGGTTTCTCAGAGTTGTTTTCTGTTAATGTTAGATTCATGCTTTAGGATGATGACATTCTGTTCCAGAAAAACTGTGGTTGTTTTTGTTCATACATGGGAAAAAAATTTTCGTGTATTTTTAACCTAGTGTTCAAATTCCGTCCTGTTTCATCTTCATTGTATTTTGTGTTTCCTTGCAGGCTGGGTTCATTATATCATATTCTTAATGTGTTTAATTTTTGTTCCATGGGTGAAAATTAATCTATTTGTTATGTTAAAGTTATATCTATTTGTTATGTTAAAGTTATATCTATTTGTTATGTTAAAGTTATATCTAGTTGTTATGTTAAAGTTATATCTATTTGTTATGTTAAAGTTATATCTATTTGATAATCTGTTAGAGGTATGGTAATGTAAGGTTAGGTTCCCTTCATCTTATGTTTGTTTGTTAAACATGGCCTTTTTTTTTAATTTGATAATAGTTTGTGTAACTATTGAGATATGTAATTGGTTTATGTTAATGAAGCATTGAATGAACTTCTTTATTCTGATACAATAGCTTGCCTCCACTTACATAATAGCTTTTCTTGATTTGGCAGTAATCATTGAGAAGAGGTAAATGTGTAGGCTATTTAGGGTAAACAACTGTAGTTTCTCAATACAATTTGCAGTCATTCTATAAAGAAAATAGATAACTTAGATTTATTTTATATTTATGGTGGTAACAAGATTAGTCAAACTGACCAAATGGGTAGAGTTAGGGTACAGAAAATAACAGATAAAATATAATGTTTTAATAAAAATAAAACGTTTGTTATTTATTTAGGAGGTTCTACAGATTATACAAATGAAATTTCACAATTTTCAAATAAATAAAAGTATTTCTAATCTTAACTCGAGCAGTCAACACCCTGACTCCATATATTCATGGACAAATCTTTAATAAAAAAAAATACTTAATTACAAAATTTGATTTTTTGTGTACAAAATACTTGTAATGTTTACTGAAAGCTTGCCAAATTTCAGGAAGATAAACAAAACATGTTAAACTTTATAGTACAAAAACTCCGATGGTTACTCTGGGGTCCTAAACTTGGTTGAATCAAATGAGCTCATGGTGCACGAGTTAATTTTTTTACTGCCCGTACTTTGTACCACCAAAAGCACTAAATCACAGTGGTAGGTAATTAGCCAACTGTCACAAGCAAAGTATGTGTGTCCTGTATGTGATTTGTATTTAGGAAGCATAACAGGCCACCCTTGTTTTTAGTAAGTTAATTATTCAAATAAAAATGCAACTTTGAATTATGCATTTTAGAACATAACAAATATATCAGCCACTAAAGAATAATGATGCAAAGTACTATAATTTTACTGGTTTTCTAACAAAGCTATAAATAGGTTAAAAAACATTTTCCATTATCTGCATGAAGCTGAATAACAACAATCATAGGTGACAAATCTGAAGCCAACTGTATACATGTGCCTGCCAAAAAAGAGCTAACTGTAATAAAGTAATTGCAGAGGGAAAAAAAGGGTTACTTCTATTGGTTATAAATATATTCATCAAATAAGGACACGTGGTTTAAATAACTGCCTAGAAAGCTATGATAACATGGGAGGGGCTTCACTGGTGAATTTGACACATTTATTGATATCTTAGCAAATCGAGAAGATGGGAGATTAAAATTTTACATTCTGGCTCATCATTATCTATAGTTTGTGTTTCTAATTGTTTGAACACTTCAATCCACACCTTAGGGAAGAAAATCTATAAGGGAGAATTCAGAGCACATTGTGTGACACAGGAAAATGAAGATTGAAAATTTAAATATTTTCTTTTAAATTTAAGAAATTGAAACATAAATACTGTGAAAAGTTGAATTATAAACTACATTTTGATGTCAAACATATTGACATACATCTATATAAATATAATAGTACTGTCTGTTGTATGTCCATGTAACTACCTCACAGGGCGTGGATGGATCTTCACCCAAATTGGATGGAGGTTTATTATGTCAATGCAGGGGTACATACAAATTTTCAGTTTTGTATTTTTTTATGGACTTTGTTTCATTTTTTACCACTATCTCATCTCCTGTAGATGGATCTTTACCAAATTTGGTATGGAGGTTTATTGGGTCCACGGGGAGATACATGCAAACTTGCAGTTTCACATTTTGTGTTTTGTAGTTTTTATGGCTGTTTTTTAAAAATACGTATAAGAGAAGAAACTTTTCATGTCCTAAGATAACCTTTTGTTAATCAGTAATTTACATAACTTCCAACCAGGGCACGGGTAGACTCCGGCTAGTTGATAACAAAGTTGTTTAATTAGATTTTTAATATAACACTGTAATAGGTTATGACGTGCATTTTGACTCGGCGGTGTGTATAGGGTTAAAAAGATAACTTCAGTCAGGAGACGAATTTCAGTTTCAGCCCATGCTTGTTAAATATGCAAGAGTTGAAAAATAAACATAAACTGACATACTTTGTTTCTTCCACTGTACGATTGTTTGGCTGTACAATATGTGATATGAAGATTCCAAAACAAAAAAGTCAACTTTAATTTCTGAATGCCTGTTAAATACAAATATGAGTAAATACTTGAATTAATGGTGTGGGTGGACCTTTACTTAGTAGAGCTCTGGAGCCAGCAATATGATTTTGAACTTGTGCAATTCCACTAAATATTCCCAGCACTTGTAGTTGTGGGTTTGTTTTAAAAGTGAAAGTCAATCCCTTAAACAGGCCGCTGCTGACTGGATACCTTTCCTCTAGTCAGTAATTCAAAAATACGAATGGCTACAGATAGCTATAGTAACTTTGCTGTGAAACACTTTGCCTCCTTAGTGACTTCATATCACACATTGTCCATTGTGTAACTTTGTGCTTAATGACAAACACAAACTAAATATGTTGCATATAGTTCCTCTAAAACTGAGATAAATGTAACTTGAGATCCAACATTTTGAGGTGAACTTTGATATAAGTGTAGCACAGCACAGATCGTTTTCTTTCAGAATTGATCTTATCACCATTACAGCAGCTTTTCCTTTGCTTCAAAAAAAAAGATAAGGTAGATGTTGCATGAGATTTAGATTTGTTTCAGAAAGAGATCTTACTGTAATGTAAGTTGTAGATTTAATTTGGAAATAACGGTGTGAATGATGTAGCAGTAGCTATGGGAACAATCTTTAAATGTTGAAGTTATTTCTAAATTTGTGTTAAAAATTATCTTTTTCTAGTGTTTGGCGAGTTATATGTGACGTCATTATTTTGAAATCTGTTCAGAAGCTAGTGCAATGGTGAGCATCGTAAACTAATCCTCATGTGACAGCCATAACACACACCCTTTCCTTTGCCAGTTATAAAAACGAGCTCATTGTGAAACACGTTTTAGGGTGGAGTACATGTGGGCTACAGGTTCCCATGAGTGTTTTCCTCTTCTTCAGGTACGATCTTGTAGACGTAACAAGAGAAGCTCTGCAATTGTTGGGTGGAGAACTATATGGAGCCACTGTTGATGCTTACAGGAGAAGAAGTATTACAGATCTCAGGTATAGGCATGTCGACAAGTTATATTAATTACACATATCATCATTTAAATGGACTTTCTTCCACATAATATTAGATATTTCTAGTTTTGATTTTCTTCCAGTCACGCGGCTTTAACTTTTCCATAATAAATGATTTTCAAACTTCCATATGCACACTTAATACTTTTTAAAGTTAAAATAGTATCACAGTGCATTCAGTTTTGTTGATAATAAAACATCAGTCAAATGAAACAGTTTCATAAAAAAATAATTTTACAATGTTTTTCTCTTTTTTTCTAATTATATTCAGAAATATATCCATAACTATGTTGGATCTTCTTGAAGATTT